TAATAATAATAATAATAGGTGTATGTTAATATAAATGGTTCATCTTCCATAGTAGGCTATTTATGAGATGACAAAGTGTCAGGAAACAAAAATTTTTACTATGTTCCTGAAACACAGTATAACTCCGACTCCTTCCACAGAAAAGGTATGATGTGAAAGACATTTATTTAAGTTTTAAGCATAAAAAAACTTTTTGGACAAAGACAACTCCAGTTGTCACCTTTGCCTTATAGTTGCACCATATAATGCTAAGAACCACTTTATGCCTAATGTAAGTGATTGAACTATGTCATCCATTTATATACTAAAATAAAATAAATTAATCTAAACTTGTCGCTTATGTAAACAATAGTCTCTGCATGGAAATAACAGCAATAATTTGGCTATGACATAATTATCGAATGGCCACAGAATTTTTTTTCATCTAATGTCATCAAACAGGCTCTGTAAAACAATGTGTAATCTAAAAAAAAGTTTATTAAAAAATGAGGAAATGAGAGATATCAGTAATCATGAGGGAAAGGAGAGCAGAGAGCACCACTGCACAGTTTGGGATGAGAAACAAATATATTTTAGTCAGAAAAATGGATAGAACCACTTACTGAGGCTACAGTCTATCCTGATACAATCTGGCGGGAGAGAGAGCGAAATGGTGAGATCAAATAAAAGAGAAAAAAAAGAAGAAGAGGAAAGAAAGAGACAAAAAGGAAGAGAGAGAATAAAGGAGAAAACAAAACGACATTTTACATCCTTCAAGGTACATTCTGCAGACAACCAAGCATTGCTCTGGGGCCACCATCCGGGGACAGGCTCTGAGTCAGGATCACCCTTTACTTTTTATTTCCAACATCCATCCCTTGTTCCAACAAATGCAGCCAAAGCACAGTAAAAGGCAAGAGGTAAATTGTTAGACTTATTTTGTGTTTCGTTGTTTTCATTTAATCCAGTGGCCTGGTTAGACATTTTCCTGAGGTCTACAAGATGGATGGACAGAAGAATCTGTGACTAAAGATAAAACAATGTACTTAAAACTGTAGGGTTCTTCTTGAATTTTCTTTTTTCTTAGATATAGAACAGAGCTTAATAGCTGTAGCTGAAACTATGAAATTTCAGTTGTAAAATTTTAAAAAGACAAAGAAAAACTCMATCTGCACAAATTGCTTTAGCTGTAAATATGTCTCAAAGAGCTAATTGTACCATTTTCTCATAGTTTTTACATATCCCAACTTTCCTTTATCGGTCAAGTCCGATCCATAACACACATATCACTTTTAACTTTTTTGATCATTTGAGATCAACTTGCCTTCTGCTGCACTTTGGTTCTAACAATCCCAGCAGCAGTGTAAAAGACAAGAAAGGGTGATCTGCACATCCCAGCCAACACATGCCTGGTGCACATAAGGAACAGTTCTCTGCCATAAATATAATGCTACATGTGACGACTAGTGTTTTCTGACCGTGTGTTTAGCCATCAACTTTGAAACTGAGATCAAAGGGTGAGTTTCACTTTCATCTTTTCTTTGAACAGGAGTTGGACTCTTTAATATAAACTTTCAACTTCCATCTGACAAAACACTTCATTCCTTTTGATATTTTTTTTTTTTGAGTCGTGAACCAAGCGTGCATGTGGCTGTGTGACTGGGCTGTGGTCTAGAGCTGTCAACCGCTACAGATTAGTGGACACAAACAACCAGAGACCGGCATCACTCTGTAGAGATGTGGCGGTAAAGCAAACAGGTTTATTAAAGYGCATTCATGGAACTAAAACAATGGAAAGTGGGGTTCTTTGACACACTGACAACTGTTTATGAGAATTGTATACATTTCTCTACAGATTACCAAAGTCGGACCATTCCCATCTGATGGTTTGCATGACATGATTAGATTCTGTCAAATAGGCTGTCAACATTAAAACTGAATCTGTCCAATTTTAGCTATTTCTATTTCTTCTGTCCTTAACAGATCAAAAGCTTTGTATTCTGATTGTGGGATGTATTTTATTTTAGTGATTGATTAATTTTTTTGCCAAAACCTTCAACAGAACACTTAGAAGCACTAAAGTTCCAGACTACTATGAATTTCTGGATGTTTTATTTCAGTGCCACTGGAAACATCAACTTGGCACTTGTAAGAAAATGGTTTTGAAGGCTCTGCACTCTGCATTTTGTGTTGATTTGAACAACTTGCCCAAAGGCCATAGTTTGGTCACCCGAGTAGAAATAAAATTACATCCAGTGCAGCTACAGGTGTGAGCCGGTCTCTCTGGCTATTTGATCCGAGGGCCGCAGACATACAGGCCATTGAAGGGATGAAAAGTTCCATCATCTGACTTGTGGTCAGGTGGGTAGGTGGGTGGGGCTATGAGTGAGAGAGTAAGTGGATGAAGTAGAAAGAGGAAAGAGAGAAGAAAAGCAGGTTTTGTTTATCCTAAAACCTTCCCTGTCTCACTGGTGCCTCAAAATTTATCCCAGAATGCGCCTCTGTCGTGCTCTTCCAGGTTCACTGATGGCCATCTGGTTCTTTAAAGGCTGTGGACAGACTTACAGAAATGGTTGGTTGTGCCCATCTTACCCTGGGCAATATTAATTCTAAGCAAATATTACAAAATTGATACAGTGCCTTAAAAACTATTCATTCACCCTGACCTTTTCTTCATTTACCGACTTCTAAGTATTTTTGTAACTGTGAAAACTATCTGAAGTGTGATGTGGATTATTTCAATTACAGATGTAAATCTTCTGGGGTTTGTCCACATCTAGAGAACCCTCCCCCCCCCCATTTTTTTCTTTGCAAACTCACTCAAGATCAGTCAGATTGGACTGAGTGCATTTGTGAACAATAATTTTCCAGTACACTACTGCCACAGTTTCTCTGTTGGATTTATGTGTGAGTTTTGACCGGGACAATCTAACACATGAATATTCTTTGATCTAAACTGTCCTGTTCTAGCTCTGCATGAGTATTTTGGGTCTTTGTCCTCCAGAAAGGCAACCCATTACCCCCAGACTCAAGTCCTTTGCAGACTCTAACAGGTTTTCTTTATCTCTTATGTATTCCTCAGTTGAAATRAGGTGGACTGCCCTCTCTCCAGGTTGGGTGCGATGTTCTGCTCCAAGTGGAGGAGTTCAAGTATCTTGGGGTTTTAATCATGAATAAGGGAAGAATGCAGCATGCGATTGATGGATCAGTGTGGCCTCCACAGAACTGTAGACTCTAAATTGGTCTGTTTTGGTCAAGAGGGAGCTGAACGGTACGGCAAAGTTCTCTCATTCAGATTGGTCTACATTCCTACGCTCACATWCAGTATGGCCATGAAACAAAGAACAAGATTGTGAATACAGGCTGTTGAAAAGGTTTTCTCTGCAGAGTAGCTGGACAATGGAACTTTAGTTATCCAAGAGAGACTCTGTAAAACTGCTGCTTCTCTGTAGTGAGAGTAGTCAGTTGAGGTGGGTCTGGACGCCTTCCTAGGAAGGTGCTTTGGGCATGTTTGACTGGGATGAGATCCCAGGGTAGACCCAGGGCACGATGGAGAGACTATGTCTCTTGGATTGCTTGGAAACACCTTGGAATTCATCCCAGAAGACCTGGAAAAGGCTTCTGGGGAAGAAAGGTCTGGGCCTTCCTGCTCAAGCTACTGGCCTCGCGACCTGACTCTGGAACAAGCAAAATATTATGGATAAATGAATGGATGGATTAAAGGGTTTCTTCTAAAATGGTCTAAATTTAGCTCCGTGTTCCATTAGTTCTCATCAGCTTTTCTGTCCATGCTGTAGAAAAGCATCCCCATACCATGATGCCTCTGTCACCATGTTTCACAGTGTGGAATATGTGTTCAGGGTGATATGTTCTGTTAGTTTTATTCTGCACATCGCAAGTTCAATTTGATCTGATCATGGGGCCCTTTTCCACATGTTTGCTRTGTCTCCTGCATGACAAACTGCAAACAGGATTTCTTACAGCATTCTTTCAACAATGGATTTTGTCTTGCTGCTCTTCCATAAAAACAGATTTGTAGACAGATTGTGCCACCTGAGATGTGGATTTCTGAAGCTCATCCAGAGTTGCCGTTGACTTAATGGCTGCTTCTCAAGTTAATGCCCTCCTTGCCTGGCCTGTCAGTTTAGGTGGATGACCATGTCTTGGTAGGTTTTCATTTGTGCTGTACTGTTTCAGTTGTCAGATTATGAACTGAAATGAGCTCTGTGAAAGATTGTTTAGTAACCAAACTTCAGCTTCAACTTAATAACTTTAACTCTGACTTTTCTGGTGTGTTCCTTGGTCTTCATGACTGGCTGACTCCTGAAAGCAATCGGAGGCTTTAGATTTTACTTGGGTATATTAGAGTAGAAGGATTGAACAGCTACATTTTTAGTCTCAGATTCGCARTAAAGAATTAAAGCCATGTTTCTTTTAAAGGTTCAAGTTGTATGAATATGTTTACAAGGCAGTGTAGATCAGGATTCCTTCAGCCAACTGCTTCTTTAAAATAATGTATTTGCCTAATTATCTTCTTTGTACAACTTCATAGATCACTTTATTAACTTATTTTTTACTTATTCTATATCTTCCTCCTCATACTAAGATGTTTAAGACTTGTACATCAAAACTAAACAGCAGCTAAGAAAGAAGTGGAACTGACTGACCAAAAAAAAAAAAAAGTTAAACCACAAGGAGGCACTAGATAGGAGCAAGACTACCTTAAAGCTTTCAGAGACAGGTTGAAGAGTTATTAAGGCTCAGACCATGAATTTTGTTAGAGATGGAGCTTTTTCACAGGGTGAGGATATGTTTGGACTTCACAAATAAAAAATACGAAAATTATGAACTGAATGCAGAGAGGGTGGGGGCAGGGGGCAAAGAATATAAAAAAATATGTTACAGTGGGGCGGCTCACCCCAAAAGACAGAAAAGACTGTATGCAGAGGATATCTTCAAATGTTGATTTTTTTTTTTACCTTGGGGCAAGCAGTATTTGGAGGAAAAGTTTCTATATTTGTATCTCAGATTTTGGTTTAAAAGAATTGAAGGCATTTTTCATTTGAAGTGATGAATACTGAATACAAACAGAAAACTGWAKAGCATCAGTTGCAGCCAATACATATGAAAATCTGTAAATGAGAGACACATTTAGAAACTTTCCCTGTTATTCACCAATACCATACAATAGAAAAAAAACATGGTTTGAAAGCCAACACATCATATCAATCTGTGAGAACAGTAGTGCAGGGTGAGGATGAGGAGACAGGGGAAGGGACATGGTCAGCAGCGGCTCCTGGTGGCCTACCGAGGTTGACAGTGAGTTTGACGCGGCCCCCGTCCAGCTCCAGTCGCAGGGTGTCTGCTGACTCTTTGGAGGTGGTGGCCATGAGCAGGCCGTACGCCCGCTGGGACATGAAGCGAAGCGCCACATCCTCTGCCTCGGTGTGCATGGTGAATGGCATGATGATCTTCAGATACATGCTGCCGTCATAACTCAGAACTGTGGCCTCTGCAGAGGAGAGAACACACACACACACACAAAAGAGGAGGACCGGGTGAGACCAAATGAAAGGAAATAAGATGAAAATGTAGAACAGGGAGTTAAATAGATAAATCCTGAATTTCTGATCTGCGTTAACAATTCGTTGAAAATTACTGTCAGCTGCATTGTCTTTGTAAAACCAGGTTGTTTTGTGGAAATAAAGGGGCAGATATTAATAAAAAAATTCTTCCTTCTGCTGCCTTTTATTTTATTTGAGTTGTATTATTTGTTTTGTATAGTATGTTTTTTAATAAAAATGAATAAACTTTTTTAAACTAAACTAAATTAAACTATTGTGGGGAACATGTTGTAGACAACTYTTTTGTCATCAGCAAAATAAGACTTTTTAATAAAAAAATACTATGATGAAAACTAAAAGTAGTTTCAGAAATCTGCCTGTTCCCATCAGATCTGACCCTGGTTGCTACACATGTAATCAGCCCTGCTGTGGGTAGACTGAGAGCTACAGTTCCCTGAGGGCTGCTCTTATCTTGCAGCGTGGATCAACCATGTCTCTCAACAGGCTTACAGAAGCCCCTGTCACAGGATGTTACAGCCTTAAAGGTTTTATAAAGTGTACAGGATATAGGATAGAATACAGGATTCAATTAGAGGCATAATCTCTTGCTSCACGTCATACCAGGGGTTTAGGCCAAAACTATYWTATGTTGAAAAAAAGCCGTAAATATTTTGTAAAACGTTGAAAATAATAGAAAAGACAGACATGTCTCTTGTACAACATGAAAAAAAAATTGTGGCTATTATTATTATTATTTAGCTGATAAAGTACCAGAGTACAYCATTTCAAATGTCACCCTTTGATATGGTTCAGTATTACATTTCATTATGTTTTATTTATAATTTCCAGAGGCTACCTTTGAAAAAAAAAATATCACTCAACCTGGACAAACACACTTTTACTTCTTTGGCCCAAATCCCATTGAGATACTAAGGTGATTCTAAAAAAACAGTTGTGAAACTAAAATTTACTTAAGGCATTAATATTTTCAGTCAAAAACCACAACTTCTCCAAATGTCCTGCTAAAACGTAAACTTGCTTTGCTCCTGCAGTACCTCAATACACCACTAGAGGGCAGAAGAACATCACATAAAACCACATCTGTCATCTCAGCACCCAAGGCATAACTGTAAGAGCACCCGCTCACATCCACACACCCACCCTTCTTACTCCTCCAGATAAAGAAATTTCATCCTCTTCTTCAACTGTCCTGATTTGAATCCAATCTCTCCTTCCCTCATTACCCTCCTTGTCCCTCAAAATCCGATACCGTCACAGCTCACTCACTTCCGCAGACAAACCGTGGACCTGATGTGCCTGCGGCAAGTTGGGCTGGATCTGAAGCAGCACTGTGCTGTTTGATTCACTTGCACCCCCGCACCCCCCCTCCAAAGCCCCCCACGGCGGCGTATCCACCACCCCATTCTGTGTGGCAGGCACAGATGGTGGCTGTGGGCCTGGTTGCACTGCCACACTGCTGCCAACCTCTCAGCCTTCAAGCCTCTGCTGCCCCCRTCCCACCACAGGACCCCGCCACCCCTCTTTGGTCCAGGGTGGCGTTTGGTCCCAGCGGAGCTCCCGCCAGAGCAACTGCTAACGCCGCAGCTGCTTGATGGTGTCGATGAACAAGGCGGGATCGTGTTAATTARTGTATGCAAGTGTTTTCTCATTAAAATGTACAATTTACCAACTTTTTTTTGTTTCAGTTTGGCACTGACTCAAAATCTTTTTGCATATTAGTTTTTCTAAAGTAGTGGACAGCACCGTWTATGAAAGATTTTACCACTTGTTGTCAAAGACAAAAGGCCAATAATATTTGTGTAGGGTTGTATGTACGTGTGTCATTTGGCAGCCATGTTGGCAAAATATCTAATAAACGGGTGGACTATTATTAATGAAACTCTCAGAAAGTAATTRTCCATTGTACATCTACAACTAGTTCATAGTTTTTTGAGTGCAAGCTGTTTTGGGTCACAGGTCAACTGGTTAACGCTGAGGTAATCGTCATTGCAATTTAGCAAACTCAACAAGCTCAAAAAACAGATTTATAGCTTAGATATTTATGAAAAATCTCATYTACGGTYCYAAAAGAAAGTTTAACACAAATCAGTTAAGAGCAAGACATTTGGTCTGAAAAACAACGTCAATTTACCTGTTGAGTTTGGGCATTCACAATGRCGATTTTGCCGATAAACGTGTGGGGTCGGCCCACTTCACGCATTTGTGATAATTGCTAAATACAAAATGGTCCATAGACATTTGGACTCAATAGATTYAACATGGTGGCCACAGTTAACACTGCCTTAACTGAACACCAAACTGGCTATTACTTTCAGTTTTAAATATCTTGACATAGAATATCGTGCAGAGGTAGATGAGATTTATTTCTAACACATGATTTAAGGGCTAAATGATTCAACAGATTGTTTGAAAGCTTAACCATTTAACTTATTGTTGTCAACTCTTTCAGTCTCTTAGCAAAATAAATTCAGAACCACAAAACCTATTTTTAAGAAACTGTAATAAAGTAACCCTTGTGTATACAGCTACTACTAATTACTTTTTTCGAGTCAACCCAATTCAAGATGGCCGACATTACCAACTGAACTTAGAAAACAACAGAACAGCTATAGCTTAATAACTTTATATATATTTARCAAAGATTTGGTGAGGTAGTGGCTGAACCTAAGTCACAATGAACAATTCAAACTACTGTACATATTGAGCCACCTTTTTCTTAAAACTTTTGCCTTAACTGTTGCCATCAACTTTATCTGTTAGCAGAATGTCTCTTGAATCAGTGGACATATTTGATAAAATGCTCAAAAGGTATTTACTGGGTGCACATCTACAAATTAACTTTTGAAGTTAATCCAATTCAATTTGGCTGCCAAATCTACACAACTTTAGCAAACACAAAAATGACTACTAAAAATGCATAAAATGAGTGCATGATACATCTTTTGGTAAAAATTTGGCTATAACTGTTGGAGTCAACCCTTTTTGTCTGTTAGCAAAAATATCAGATTTTAATTAAAGGCACAGTGTGTRGGATTTGTTGTTTTCAGCGACATCTACTGGTTGAGTGGTTGAATCATCCTCCCTGGTCCTCCTCCACTCCCCCGCTTCCAAATGCAAAGGAGTTGCTACGGTGTCTCTCAGGTGTCAAAAACCTTTGATAATTCCAACTGCGATGTCTACCAGCAGCTTCAGGGCTAGTGATGTTTCAAGTGGTAAGATTATGAGCTTTAATAAGTAAAATTATCCCAGCTACAATGACAGACAACAAATATTACATTTATAGTATTACAACTAAAACTGTTTTTGACACCGCCACCGCAGTTTGTCCTTCATGAGCCTTCGTAGACAAGATGGCAGTGCAAGATGGCGGCTGCCTGTGTGGCGACCCGCAACCATGGAGATATAAACAGCTTTTTATAAGRTAAAAATAATAAAACAAGTCTTTGTCTGCAATGATTAGACATGTTTTTTATTATTGTCATTAGTGATTATCTCAATTTCGGCTAAAAGAATTGACAAAATCCTACACACTKTTCCTTTAAGCTACTAAGAAGTAATGATTGGATCTACATCTATAACTGATTAAATTTTGGAGTCAACTCAATGATGACCTTAATTGGGAGGACCACAAAACATTGTGCTACAATTCTTGTAACAGTGACTCAAGTTACAGCCATCATCCCAACATAGAAGAATTCTTTGTCACTTTCCCTAAGCTAAGATGTTAGCTATCAGCTGGGTTTGAGCGATGGGACGAGCTGAATTTGACCTGATAAAAGTGCAACCACGGACTCACATCTACTCCAAACATTTTATCGGAGGTAAAAGACCAACACTGGATCACCCAGGTCTTTTAATTTTAATCACCGTATTATTAAAATGCTTTGTGACTGAAGTTGGATGTGTCAAAATTTGTTCTAAGAACGTCTTTTTTKAYTTSGGTWTTAACACTGRCTCTCCGTAGAATTCATTCAGATTGTCCGATCATTTGAGAGAGCAGCAGATAATACATTTAAATGTTATGTGTGACATCATTAATGAAAGTCCCAACTGACTTTAGCCATCACAAAAAATGTAAAAATTCTGTCAAGTTTTCCGATGTCTTTTCAGTTTCATGTGGTACTATCTGAGAGTCATGCTATTCAGTTTAGTGAAACACATCTACAAACACCTTCTGAAACTAAAGCATCTAATCAGCTCCTAATCAGTCCTTACCTATGTCACAGTTGCTGCCGAGGTACCCTGTACCGGTGCAATCACAAATGTAGCGATTCCAGCCCTCTTTGCACAGGCCTGCATTGCCACAGGGGGCGCTGCTGCATCGCTTCTGCAGCTCGCGGGTGCAGAAGCTGCTGACACCCAGAGCGCTCTGGATCTCAGCCAGGCGGCGCACGTCTCGGCTCTTGCCATCGATGAAGAGGTCGCGGACGCAGCCGACGTAACCGTAGTTTAGGAGGGCGGTCCAAACCTCCGGCGGCAAGATGAGGTCTGACTTGGTCTCAGGCAGTCCTCCCAGAAACATGTCACTGTCCAGGTCCAGGATTTCACTGCCTTCTGGGGACATGAAGGGCATGCTGCGGCTATTGACCGAGATAGACCCTAAAAGAGGAAAAAAGAACCAAGAACATATATTTCTCTGTTTAATGCTGAGGAAAACTTCTGATTAATCTTAAAATATGAAGAACTCTGAGCTTTTTATAAAATACAATTAAACATTTTTCAGACATTTATACAGATACTGAACTAAAATCTAATCTGGAAGTRGGCAAAAGTAATTACTAACACTAAGTTATTTTAGAACTGTTTTTATAGCTTCTGCATTATCTGTTGGTGTCAACAGTTTGCAAGATATTTGAYGAACAATTAGATGGATTTTAAAGTAAGTCTCACAACATCAACATTAGGTGTTCATCTACAATTGGTTATTTTTTGGGGTCATCCCTAATCAAGATGGCTCTCACAGCTAAGTTACTTCAGCCAACACAAAAATGACTAACTTGGTCAGTTTTACAAATAGTCAWGTAAATTTTGTTGAGTGCAGTACTTACTTTCCTTACTTGAATACTGATCCTACTGGTCAAATATTACACCAATTCAAGTAAGGTAGCTCTGTCGTATTATTACTTAAGTTAAAGTACTGGAGTATGTGMTTTAAACATACTTAARTACTGAATGTACTTAAAAGCTTGGTGTTTATTAATGGATTTCATTTGAGTCTAGTCAGGAATAATTGGGAAAATGTTCTGCGATACTGGACAGATCAATAGCTTCAACTATATAATAATGATAATGCTTTAGTCTTAGATTGAGCTTTTCTAGATGCTGAAATGTGCTTTACAATTTCATGTATTATTTATTCACTACTCAGTCACACTTGGTGGTTGTGTGGCGGYCATTCTGTACCTATGGTCTAATCACCACAATCACACCAACAGATTTATACATGGGGACGTTGGGTGAAGTGTCTTGCCAATGGGCACAATGACAATATGCACTCAGGCAGAGATTTGGTGTGAAGGTGAAGGCCTACYCCTGCCCCTCYAATATATTGAAGAAATTTATAGTTAGGTRGTACTGATGTTAAAAGCACAACACTATATTTTTAGGTTTTCCTTTTTGTAATGTTGACAATGTTTAACCTATTATGTTTTGATTGATATAGATTAGTTACATGTCCGAATTATATAACAACACATAATCAATCGTTGTGATGACATTAGATGAGAATTTTGTCTGAATGCCTGTGATTCAGCCGTAGGTCAGTAGAGGGCGAACGCAGGCAYTGAAGAAGGTGTAKAAATACATGAACTTCCTGGTTTTTCGCCAGTGTTGGTTTCCTTTCAGCTCAAGTGACAATAAACCTCACTCAGATCCAGAGTTCTGGTGTTGTATGGTTTTATTCCTTCTACAAATCATTTTATTTAACAATGGTGTTTTTAATATCAACCAGTTTATTGAATACAAATTTTCTTACTTTATATATATATATATACACATAGTCACCTCTTCAAAGAAAAGTCTTGGAACTGTTTTGATAGAACCTAGTATTAGGTGACTAATAATGGAGCTCTGGATCTAACCTGTGGGATATTGTAGTGTTTGCACTAGTTTGCTGAATTTGTTATAATAAACACTTCTGTACAAAACATTGGGCCTCATGCAAGAACATGTTCGTATTCTTATCCTAAATTTCTCTTACTTTTGTTCGTACAAAGGGTTCGTACGAACATGTCACGTCA